CCACACAGATGGCTGGCTTGCCTGTACCGCAACCGGCCAGCACAACTGTCTCATCAGCACTTTCTCCAGCCGTATCTGGGCCACAGCCGGCCGGCCAAGAGCAGGAAAGGAGAAGCCCAAATCCGTATTTGCATAAACCCCCCAAACGCCTCCGAGAGAGAGAGAGAGAGAGAGAGAGAGAGAGAGAGAGAGAGAGATATGCAGCAGCCGCCGCCCCCACCACCGCTACTCCACTGCTGCTATCAACTCAGCAGCCCAGTGGGTATCCGAAGGCAGCGCCACCGTCTCTGCACGCAAGAGGGAGGTGTGTGTGTGTGTGTGGGGGCTTTGGGGACCCATTTCACTCTCTTTCTCTCTCTCTCTCTCTCTGAAGGCCCCAAAGCTGTCAAGTGACGGGAGGGGGGGGTTCCTTGTCTTGGAGCAAATCAGGCGAGGCTTCTCTCCCACCAATTGTGGGAAAGGCGCCAGTTTCCCAACTGCACCAGATGCTTCTTCAGCCTGACAAGTCAAGGGGGGAGGCTTCAGGACGATGGGCGACAGGGTCCCTTGCCTGTCTCTCTACAGACGTGGCCTCGCCTCTGCAGGCCCTTCCCTCCCACAGGCCTCTGGAGCTCAAGGGGCACCTTCTCTGAGCTTCACCCGCCTCGGAGGGCTGTCGTGAGGAGGAGGACGGACGACACCACCTGGAGCTCAGAGGGCGGAAGGCCAGGCATGGAAAAAGGAACGGATGGGTGCTTAAAATAAGGAACTACATTACTAGGAGGGGACCCAAAACACTCAGAGATCGAGTCAGGCTTTTAGGTGGGGGTGGGACTTCGTTTTTTTTAAAATTATAGCTCCCAGGATTCCCCATCAGCCAGGAGTGGGGGCTCGAGGTCCGAAGAAAGGTGTCCCCCCCACCACCCCCAGCTTTTCCGGAGGGGCTGCTCCTCCCCTCTCCTGGCTGCAGGGATGAATTTGGCAAGGGTGGTTGGTGGGTTCCCCCCCCCATCGCTCCCTGGTACGGAAGGGCCCGCCCCGCCAGGGTGGCTGAGGCCCCTGCGGCCAAAATCCGTCCAGCGTTCAGCCTGCGGGCAAGCCCCTCCCTTGAAGACGCGGGCAGGCCAAGCTTGCTTAATCGGGTCACAGAACCTGGATCCTCTTCTCACAGAAAGTGGGAGATGATTACTTAGCCCAGGACGTTAATGGCCGGGTGTGTGTGGGGGGAGACTGGGGAGGGGGAGGGAGAGATTAATGTCCTTGCTCAGAAATGTCGAGGGGACGTTCAACCTTCCTCTGCCCCTCTCGACCCACCCACACCCAAGCCAAGGAGCTCATTGTGCCCCGAATCCAGGGGTTAGGAAGGAAAATACAACCACCACCTTATACGAGAGGGTGGCTCTTCCCCAAGGCCTGGAGGAGTCTTGTGGCCGAGCTGGCCTGGGGATTGTGTCTGGGGTGTGTGTGTTAGTCCAGCACATCTGGAGGGTGGCAGGTTGAGCGGAGGGTGGCCGGGGGGGGGGAGAGGCGCTGCTCATGCTTGTTTGCATCCGAAACAACAAAGCAGCTTATGTGGGGATTCTTGTTTCAGGGGTCAAAAAAGATCAGCAGGCCCTCGCACGGAAAAGGAAGAGGTTCAGCCCCTGTCCCATCTCTCTGGGGCAACAGATGTTGGGGACAAGTTTTCTTAGGACTGCTTAGACGCCCGCCCCCCCCCGTCCTGTTCTTTGTTCGCCTGTATCCCTGCAGGGATCACCGTGAGGACAAGGCCAGGATGTGGACCGTTTCCCACTGCAAAGGCCTCACCAAAGGCACTGATTTCCTGGCGCG